CTGTGTTTACTGGAACAGTCTTCCGCCCCATAACATTCCATAATCAAGTAGGCGCATAGCTCTTGTTCCAATATTTGCATCCACACCTGGGCCGTATCTATATACGGTCTTGGTTTGGCATTGACGGTTCATTAGCGATGCTGCAGTTGAACGTCGGGCTAGCCTAGGCCCTGCTCAAGCTGGTCATAACGTTACCCTAGCTGTACTGATGAGGCCTAGAAGGCCGAAACGGATCCGTCTGCAGATATTGGGATTTTTTCCAGTGGATATTTAGTTTAGTTTTGTCATTCATTCTTGATCGGATTTTCTCTACTGTTCCGTTTAAACTTTATATTATCATTATTTGCATTTATGTGGCTGCTCGTTGTTTTTATGGGTTTATATTTATATATATATATGTTAGATTGATTTGTAGAAACTAATTTATTTAAAACTCAAGACAAAACCATTGCTGAAATTCAATACAAAATAGATTTATTTGCTTAACACAAGATACAAATGATGGCAATTAAAAGCTATGTGATGTCTACCAGTAGAGAAAATAACAAATCCTTCTTAATATACATATTTAGAAACTTAAACATCTTACAGAGTTGTTTGGCTTTATAAAAGGAATATAATAATATATTTCTCATAAACTTTACTGTTAATAATATTTGGCACATGTAACTTGTTTTAGCTTACTTTTATGTGTTTCATCTTGCAATTTTTATGTGCCGAAACTGAATAAACCAAATCAAATAATATAAATATATAATATAAGGCAAGGTGTTTCAAATGCAGATTCCAAAAAATATACATATGCACACAGGTCAATGACCACCATAAGTGTTGGTGACCAATGAACCATCTGCTAAGCCCGGTGCTTTCTATATTGTTGCTAAGGTAAACATACCCAAAGTCACATATTTTTTTAGAGAATTGTTTACTCCTGACCTGCTGTGATTGGTAGTTAAGTTTGAGTGACACTACAGAGAGGTTCATTATTGGAGCAGAAATTATTATGGCATACATACACACGTTTCTATAACATTCTTACAACAATAATTACATCAGTGATTTCTTAATTTGCTTACCTATTTTTAAAATATATTTGTTCGTAATTCAACATAATAGGATTGAATACTTTGGTAATACTTGTACCTTACTGTTTTCATTTTAAAGCTATTGAACCAGTATCACTTTTCCCTTCGTATATCAATCACTGTGTATCTCAACAGGACAGAGTGAGATGTAACAACAAAAAAGATGGGACAAATCACAGATGATGGATTCAATCCTGGGAAAGGAGATAAGTAGCAAATAGCAGGTTTCGTATCTCCATGGTTGTACCATTATATTTCAGACACATTCTTAACTTTATTTTACAAAAAAATAGCACACCACTTAAGGAATATTTGCAACCTCTATAGAGATAGCTAAATTTACAAATAAATTAAATACAAAGCTATATGGCATTCAGAGTTCCCTAATTGGTTCCCTTCACCAACTGTACAACCATTACTTTTACATGTTTCTACTTGTTATACAGTACTATGATATACAGTACATATGTAATCTACAATGCTAAAATACATTGTTTGAAATGCATTTTAAAACTATGAACAAAAGATGCAACCCCAAAATATTGACTAAAATCGACTGTCACCCTACCAATATGTTTATGTAGATAACTATAAGTATTTAAAAAAAAAAAAAAAAAAAAACTTGCTATGCTCTGATAAAGAAAATTTAAAAGTAAAAATTTACTGTTGTTTAAAAATAAAAATATGAACAAATTATTAAATTTGGACAATATAATAAACATGGAATTCATAACACAGATAATACCACACCCTGTGGTTTGAAAATATGTTATAATTCCCAGGCATTTTGGAAGATCTCAAAGTGTTACAAATCCCAGGGCCTTTGCAAGATCTGGAGATTACAATCCAGATAACAATTATCCCCAGGTTATAGTATGATGTAGAGGTGTTATAATTAATACATGTAATGAAATATACATTATGTCAAAAAAGCACTGACAATTCAGTTTTGGCTAAACTTATTTTGAATCATTATCATGGCAAATAAAACATATCAAATTATTCTTATTGCAAAACAAACCTTGCTTACAAAGGTTAATGTAATATTCTTTAAAAATTTACTTAGAATCATATTCATATAGTATCATTACATACACAATCCTCATTTCATCTTCATTTATATCATCATTGCCATCACCTCTATCACCCTCATTAGCAGTAGCATACCTATCACTATATCATCACCATTAAATCTAATTGTACACATTAACTTTAGTAATAACATTTGTTTGCTAAGCATCAATCTGAGACGTCTTAGTTCAGGTGTTGCACACACATTAAGTGTAATCCTATTTATCATTGTTACTGACGCTACCACATTACATTAATTTCCTGAAGATCAGAAAATTTGACAGAATGGTACAGATGAATGGCTGTCTAAATGCAAATTTATTCAGCCATTTTAATCAGAATCCAATATTCCATGATTCTACAAATACAGTAATATCTAATGTCTTCAAAATCAAAAGCACATAATTATTGAGTTGTCATTAATATGCAGACATTTATTATTAAAACAAATATTACTTTCCCAACTTGCACAGACTACTGTTGCAATACAGATAACGAATCAATAACAGCCAATTATCAATATGTAATATGAGCACCGTGTAGATAATTAGGATAATTATCATTGCCTTACTGTTTGCATTATTGAAATTTGATGCCAAGTGCATTGTGGCAATCAGCGCATGCACTATCAAATACTATACAGTATTGTATCATCAGACCCTAATTTACATTCTTGTGATTTCAAAAAACTGTTTATATCTTTAAAAATTGGGGTAGTTAAATGAATATGAATATTTAACAGATGCAGTTCCAGTGGGTGACACAGGGGGGGGGGGGGGACGACATTTTTTCACTAAATTTTTAAATTTCAATGCATGTCAATATTATGTATTGAAATAAGGGCTACACACGTATCTATTCAGAAAATGTTGATGCCCCCCCACCCCATGGTTTGAAAAATTCTTGATTTTCCCCTGTTAAAGATATATTCTATACCCTCGGTATGCAAAGTCATAACTGACATACTTTACATTAAATGCATGTTTGTTGCTCTTTAGAGTATAATATACATATTATATAATGCAGTATACTCAAAGTATAAATACATATTCCTTTGCTGTAACACTTAAATTACAGCATCTTTTACATACACATATAATTTATTTTGACTACAAGAGCCACAAGTTCCCTGAGCATATTCCTTACAAACAATCTTATCAATAATTTTTAAAACGAGTTTCATTATATACAGCTTATTATCTTACTATATAATTACCTCATCTTCTAAAAATATATTAATTAGTCGCTTTAATGTACCAATGTTCACTTAAATAAGTTGAGAGTTTACATCCCCATGTGGATGACAGGAACATCCTCATCGGAACTGAATCCATCGTTCATAAAACCGCTTCCAAGATCAATACGACTGCGGCCTTTCCCTTTTCCTCGTGACTTAGTCTTGCGAAGTCTGTTCCTGGCATCGCTACCTCTGCTCAAGTGCTTAATTCGTGCACTTTTGGCACCTTTCGTATCGCTATCGGTAAGATCTTCTTGAGAGGAGAAGAGAGCATTTGGAATTGAAAAACTCTCAATGATAACTGTTTCATCGAGAGAATCTTCATCAGAAAAATCCTGAGCTTCTGCTTTAGTCTTGCAAAGTCGGTTTCTGGGATCGCTGTCTGTGTTCACGTGTTTAATACCTGAAATTTTAGAATCTTTTGTAATCTCCTCTGTAAGATCCTCATGGGAAGAGTAGAGAGCATTTGGGATTGAATAACTCTCAGCGCTCATTGTTTTATCGGGGCATTCACCCTCGGGAAAATCACGAACTATGTTCTGTGGTTGATTCCTTTTTCTGTATTCGGTGCCAGTTGATTCAACGTTCTCACTCCGGGCGGAATTCAAGCGAGGATGTGAAAAAGATGTTTCTGCTGTGAGTTCATGCAATGAAGGGCTTTTTCTCAAGGCATTAGTACCTTCTTTAAGCTCTGAATATGAACTGCTTGGATTGGTCCATTCATCCATCCTGCTACTTGCATCTGAAAATTCCTCCAATCGGATATCATCTCTTAACCGTCCTTTTTGAATACTACCTTCACTTCCTTTGCTACTTTCTGTCCAGTTTCCAAGTTGTCCCATGTAGTATGTGTTTGGATTAACTATCAGAACAAAAAAGAAATCAATTATTATTTCTGGCCAGAGCCACACTCTCCGAATTAAACAATTGACCAGTCTGGCAAATTAATTTAGGGGAAAAAAATCAGCATAATCACATTCAGGGGGCTGGATATGCAAAAAACAAAGAAAAGCTGCCATGGTAGAAGGCATGCCTGGGTAGAATGTCTCTCTCAAGAAAAGAATAAAACATATAAAAACAGAAATGGATGCTACACTAAACTTTTAGATTTATTAGACATTTTGTTAATGATTCCAAAAATGGAAATAATTGCTGAAGGCAAGGTTTAGCTATGGTAACTGTGTTACCAGAGTCCTGTGTTCATTATTATTAGGAACATTATATGCAGGAAGAGGGATCAAATATTGAAATATACATAACAAAAATGATCTAGCACCTGAGGGGAAAGATGTAGGGATACTAGTCCAGAATGCCTGTCGAACAATGGGGGGTGATGTTGAATCATCAAATGGCATATCCGTCTGTTCAGACTGTGTATCACGTCCACTGTCTTGCAGTTCCAGCCTTTGTCTGTCCTCTTCCTGCCGAACAAGTTGCAGCTGTCTAAAAATTTCAAGTTCAAGCTGAGACCTGTAAAGAAATGTTAAAAAAAAATATAAATAATTACTGTATTACAATATTATTCTATCGATTTCCAATTCTATTTTTAGTAGATTTTAAAATCATTTTTACTTATATCATAATTCAATTATAATAAAAAAATATGATTGATAAAAAGCAATACCAGTAAGCATTATCTATCATCACCTTAATTGTTTCTCTCTATCTTCAGCATCTGAAGCGCCCTCTATGAGTTCCCTTAATTCTGGGTTGTGGCTGTAAAGATCTTGATGAATCCGTTCCAAACGCTCTTCTAGGAAACTATCAATAGAGCTTGGTGGCTAAATTCAAGCAAAAACACATTATCAAAATAAAATATGTCAATACAATAATAATATAATATAATAATATAATCACATATAATAATATAATATATACAGTAACAAGAAATTACAAAACAATAATAATGCACATTATAAAGCCCAATATTCAACAAAACTCACATATGTTTGACATAAATAAATATTTGACAAACCTCTGTGCTAATGAGAGATAGATTGTCTTCCATTCCATTGTCTGAATCACCATAGTAACCAAAATGTTTATCTGGTAGACCATGTTGGTGAGTAAGGGCACTCATGCGGAACAGAAGTTCATCTACTTGGTATTCAATTTCCGCCATTGTGAATTCCTAAAGAAATCAAATTTTATTGATACAAATTCATAAGATCTGTCATAAGATCATTGATTTGCATTATGGTTCATCATAAAAAGTTGCCACATTCTCAAAAAGAATACACATCTAAATTTACTATACATTATCATGACTATGACCTACACCAGCACCACTACCAACACCACCACTAAAACTACCATCACCAACACCACTACCAACACCAACATCATTAGCTTCTTTGGGGGCGCTTATGGAAATAGATGAAAATTGAGTCCATAATGAGCAGCAAAAAGTAGGAATTCCTACGGTGAAACAGGTGGTCGTCTTATATGCGAGAAATACAAAAATCTTCTCAAACTCGGGGGTCATCTTATATGCAGATTGTCTTATGCGCGAGAACATACAGTACTCATACACATTACCAATAAACTATTCTTAATTATTCCCTACCAATGGAAGCTCTTCCCTTTCACAATCTTTGTTGGATGGAAGTTTTCGAATGCCAAGTACTATCAGTAATTCATTCCAGAAGAATGTCATCACTTCTCGACCACTGACAGTCTGACCTCTGACATTTTTACAGTCTTGAATTTTCACTTTTCTGTAGCTACAGCACAGAATAGCTTTAGCCTAAAAGTGCAAAGACACAATTCAAAAAAAAGTGTTACATTTATTCAGTTTTATATATCAAATTTTAATTTGTTAACATTTTGATGTAGGCAGCAATAATGGAAATTATTACAGAAAACTATGTGAAATTTTATTCATTTAAACAAGAAATTTATGTTTATATTTGTGAGATGAGTAGTTAGAAAATGAATGAAAATGCTCAAATACTTACTAAACCGGAAAATGCCACAAACACTGTTGATATATATGAAATGTAGAATATGGTCCACAATATGGGGCTGGCTTCCTGGACATTATCAAGGCTTTCTGGTGTCCCTACCAACAGTGTGATGACAGATCCAGTGGTCGCAAACAACTCATTAAATGGCTTGTAGAATGCTCCGAACAGAAGCACTCCCAGGCAGCTAAATGCCACTTGAATCACCAATAAAGAAACCTACCATGTCATAAAAAATGCATTTAATAATACATCACAAATAGATCACATCTATCATTCAATTGAACAAGTTGAATAAAATGAGTACTTAAAATCTACCATAATCATTAATACAGTATATAAATAATAATTACAACAATATTAATAATCATTTGTACCATGGCAAGATTACAAACAAAAAAGATGCTAGTTCCTGGATATATAAATAATGACACTAAAGACGATTTATGTACAGTATTTAAAAAAGTATAATTTGGCAGCTCAAACTACTATTGGAACAGACGTCAAAAATCCACAAAAAGAAACACTTTTGACATGATACTAGTTGTCTTAATAGTAATGAGCATAGCAAGATGCAAATGACTATGTAAATGTACATACCTTCATTAAAATTACTTTCCAAAATAAAAAAATTCAACATCAAAAAATGTTTTAATTTCCTAAAAAACTGTCAATTAACTGTGTATGTAGGCAATGTTGAATCTTAGGGATAAAACAATTTTTATTTCATACTATAGAGGGCAGTATTATATTACACATTATGATAAAATGTAAACTCACTAATAAAATAACCAGTGCTTTGAAAGCTTGTTGAATTACAGCCCCAAACATGGCAACCTTGTGATTAAAACGTAAAAGATGTAGAAACTTCACTGTAACCACAAACAGCACTGCTCCGATGATGCTACGAAGACACTGTATCATATTTAAAAAAAATGTTACATGTGTATCAGTAAACAGTACTGTACAGTAATAACTGTACTAAATAAAATAACTACATCAATATATATTTTAATTTGAATATGAATTCATCATTACTATTATGAATATAATTACTTTCGATACGATCATTACAGTATTTTTGCTGTTAACTATAAGGACAACTTACTTGATCCCAGAAGGCAAGGAATGACATGTCCACAAACTCCTCATTAAACGTCCTTTTCATGCGTTCAATGATTTCGGTCACATAAGCAAAGCGGTACACGTACATCACAAAATACATTAACGATAACAGAATCATGCTCAACTAAATGGAAAAAAAGTGATCACAAAATTTTATCAACCTCTATCTTTGTAACACTTGATTTTCATTGGTAAGTATTTTTTTCTCACCGTGTTAAAAACTGCACACTTTCAATTTTGTAAAACAATTTTATTCTATACCTGTATGTGCAGCACATTTAACACTTAATTGATAATAATGTTATACTTTCAAATTCTCTTCAAATACTGTTTAACAGATTAGGAAGAATTTTACTTTCTGCAGACATAAAAACCCCAGTTGTAAATATTTTAAATTCATTAGTGATAAATGGGACGAACAATTGCTCATAATAATTTCCAAATGTTTAAATGGTCATGCTCCATCATATTTATCTAAAAAGTTTGCTTTTAATTAAAGTTTGTATGCCAAGTAAAAATGCACTAATTGACTACACCTGGAATAACATGCAAGGTAAAAGAACATTTGTATATCGATCTACTAAATTATGGAATAAACTCCCAGATCACACTAAACCCAACTTTAAATATACACTTTCAACTTTTAAGCATTCTATTTCAAATCCTCAATAATACCATCTTAATTTAACTACATTTTCTCTTACTTTGCATATCCATACATATTATTTAAATATTATTGTTTTCTTAAATTTCATTCAATGTTCCTTTTAATTTAATTTTATAACTTTGTAGTTAAGTTTTGCTTTTTTTTTCTTACAGTGTGTATATATCTTCTTTTTAAAATTTGTATAGTTAACTGAGCCACTTTGGAAATCAGTACTATGTATTGAAAGTATGTATTTAGTAAGAAAGAATAAATAAATAAATAAAATTTGGAAGATCTACATGAGCTTAGGTGTTGCATAATAATCAATCGCAGGAGGATGTTATGTTTACAACAGAGATGGCTGGATGATTATATGCTAGTGCTGTTGAGTTACTATCATAATACATTACTGTAGAGAAAGCACTCTGGTGGTGTGGGAAGGAGGGGTATATAAGATGAGATATGAGCTGTCTTACCTCTACCCAAGACCATAAGCTTAAGAAGTACTTCAGCTTCAATTTAATGGCTTTGTGAACTTCTCTCTTCCCAGATACAGCAACAAGAAGCAAGAAAAGTAGCTATGAAGAACAAAAAGTTTTTAATAATATAAGTTTTCTAATGACTACATAACTTAGGATATGATACATTTTATATAAAATAGAAGGTCATTTTATTTTTTATTATATTTAATAAACCAGAATATTTGGTGTTTACCTCGAGAAGGAGTATAAAGTAGTCGTAGTTTGATTCGTAATGGTACAGCAGCACCGACTCGACCTTTGGCAGTGGATGAATAGCTCCAGTGCCTGGCATTTCAGCTAACAATGCCACAGAGCTGTAAGAAAAGCATATGCAAGATAAATAGTTGAACATTCAGAAACAAAAAATATTAATAATAATAATAATGATGATCATGATCATGATGATAATAATAATACCCAAATATTTGTAAGCCGTTGATGACAATGTTGACAGAGAAACTAACGATTATGGGGTTGATGAAACACAACTGATAAGGTTGATGATTCTTACTAGCATGATGATAATGAAGCTGCAGAAAATATATATAATAATGACGCAGCCACTAACCTGAATAATCTATAGGGAGCATTGAAGAGAGTGAACTCTACTATCACCATTCGAGTCTGATCATCAATCCAGGCATTCTTCTGTAATTCCTTCAGCTGAGCTGCAGCTGATGACCTTTAAATGACAACAAATAACTGAAATAACATTTAAGATAATACACAACTCTAAAGCCAGACTATCACATTTTCTTTTACAAAAAACCTGGTGTACACCCATATATAGTGGGTATAGTGAGGTACCTATATAGTCATGATGTGATGTTATCATGACCATATTTAGTGCATGATAAGATATTATCATGCCTATATATGGGCAATTTGTATTAATTTGTTACCTTGTTGAGAGTTTAAGATTACTCAACCTACACTAGAACATGATCCAAAGTTCAAGATAACATACCTTGTAGTATTGAGATCCACCACATAGCCTCCCCCACTGTAGTGGTCTATCCTTCCCCACTGTGCATAGCGTTTCAACAGGTTCTTGCTGTTGTAGAACCAGCCTTCCCCCTTCAGCCTATAATCTTCTGTATCTTCTCTACTTGCCGCATAGCTGCCTTGACACGAGTCAAAGTGTGCTTCCATTACGTGGGCTATGCTGCAGCTGTTTTGGTGCACACGTACTTGACGGAGACTGGCTTTGCCCAGTAGAATGGTGTCTCCACCCATCACATAACCCTAAACAGAATAAATGAAAAAAAAAAAAAAAAAACTGGCAATGATCAACTGAAATATTATCACCAAATTGTATATAAAATTTTTCAAATTTTTTTGAATTTTACCTTCTTTTGCTTTTGAAATTTTTAAAATGTTTTATTGAAGTTTTAAATTTATTTTTGTGTGGTACTTTTTCCTATTTGTCTACTTCTTTCGATTCAATTTTGATATTTAAACTTCAATTTCTTTACAAATTGCAATAAAGGTTACTTTTAATTTGATTAAATGATTGTGAGGTATAAACACACTTGAAATGTAAATGTAATAAAAAATAATAACATAGGTTATCTAGTAATCATATAGCACTCAAAATAAAGTTCTTTTTTTTCAAAGTATAGAAATATAATTGTTTACCTGTTCTTCAGTTTGATTTTCACCATTGTACCATTTCTCCCAGAAAAGCCCATCCAGGAGATCTGTCTGGGACCAGGTCCAGAATTCTTGGACAGAAGATATTTCTGTAAAGGGTCGTGGAGTCCTAAAATATGTAGAATTAAATAAACAGTTCAATCAGTCAAATTTCAATCTGAATGTAAGTACAAACATTTAGTCTAATTTTAAGATTATTTATTGAACAAAAGCACTGTAACTCACTCGACATAGGTTTTGAAGATGGACTTGTTCAGTGAGTGGTAGTTCGTCATATCTCTTCCATAGGCCATCCACAACAAACACATTAGGATAAGGGAATAAATAATGACATCCCTAAAAATAGGACAAGAAGAAAATATGTTATTATTTAAAATTGTAATTATATACAAATTTGTTTAAATATCATTAATCTCATAATTTGCATAAACACAATCAGAAGTATGTTTACCAGGTAGATTGTTTCCTTGGTGAATGGAACTTTCTATTGTGCCAGTCAAACTTAACAACTGACCCATCAGAAGATGTTATTCAAATACATAGGTTCAAGACTGTATGTTATGGCTGTTGTTTTATGGTACCTTTGTACTCTGGGAACCTACACAAGCCATACAGATAGCTTGTAGACTCTATTCTCTTGAGTTAGGACAGTTAATGGCTTCAAGGATACAGTAATATGCATGGTGAGGAAATGTGCTAAATATATATAACCAGTCAGTAGCTTGTAGTAAAATAAACTTACTTGAGAATAGTGTACATGTTTTTCTCTTTAATTGTTTTTTCTTTGGCTTTCTGAATTTCCTTTGGTTGTGGTGGTCTAGCAAAACGCAGGTACCTTGCTCTTCTTCGGGCTTCTATTCCCTACATACAACGATAATAACAATTCATTAAAATAGGCATGACATTATGGCTGTAAAAGTAACAGTACAGTAATATAGCAGTATTATATATTCATATCTTCATCAATGCATATACTCTCACTGCAGTATTCAATAGTGAAATTTTCTGTTACAAATATTCTCTTCAATATAATATTTAATGATATGAATAGTACATTTTAAGGCACTGTATAAATGTCCAATTATTATTATAAGTATTATAATCATTAACACTCTGGCCGCCTAGGGTTTGAAAAAGTAGTATCAGCCATCGCCAGACTTTTTAGCAAATTTTAACGCTTTTTTCACTTTTAGAGATTTATGCAATTTTGCACAACGAAGCCGAGATAATCGCGATTTTGTGAAAGTAAATCAATACCGCTCTACGCTAATGTAAACAAACAAATAGTGAAATACGGGTCAGACTGAATATAGTGTTCAAATTGGTAGCACAGTTCGGTAATTACCCCATCTATCGGATTCCGTAAAAAAACCGGAAACACAGAGATCTCTGTGTTTGGCGGTCAAGTGTTGCGTTACCAAACACAGAAATCTTCGTGTTTGGCAGGCAGAGTGTTAATAATGGTATTGCAATCATTAAGGTGGAGCTGTTGTTTGGTGGTTAAGATCCTTCTATGATTAGAAGTCATGCATATTAACCATCAGTACACAGCTCCGTCTAAATGAATATTCATGACTTTTAACCCTTTCGCTGCTGAGCTTTTTTTGGAAGAAGGGTATTTTGAAATAAATGCCAAAAACAAATACTAAAAAATTGTTTTTGTATTTTGGGGTGGGAAAGAGGTTGGCCTACGGGAAAAAATTAAAATTGGAATTTTTAATTGGGTGGTCATGTGAAATTGGGGCGGCCATATTGGAAATCCCCTTTTTCATAAATAATTTTTTTTAAATAAATTTTTATGGGATTTTTTTAAAAAAATAAATAAAAAATCAATATTTTGAATTTTTTTCATCATTCTATTCAAAAACAGACAAAAATCCATGTTTTTTCGACAAAATCGTGAAAAAAATTAGTCAAAAAAAAATCAATGTAAAATGAGTTATTCGCAAAAATTAGTCAATACTCCATATAATTCATTAGAAATGGCCAGTAGTTCATAGAAACAACTATAGAGGGCGCTGCAGTACAGGAACAATTTTTAAAAGAATTATATTCCTATCCCCGGTACTACTGGGGGCTAGCAGTGAAAGAGTTAACTTGTATGTTAAATTTATGTATATTCATAACCAAAATGAATATGAATATCAATGACTTAAATGTATATTCATAACTTAATTGATTATGAATATTCATGAATTACAGTAAATGTATATTCACATTCCTTGCAATTAGTGAATATGATGCTGCTTACCTTAGTGATATCGTTGCCATAGATAAACACATTTGTACGGATCTGTTTCATCTCATGCTTGCTAAGCAAATCAGTATTGTCGTCATAATGATCGAAGATTGACACGTTGTTCCTGTGTCGGATTGACTTCATAATTGTAAACATGACCATCTACCAAGAAACAGCAGTGAATCATCAAAGAATAATTTATCTATATAGTTGCATTATAATATACAATACCTTGCCAAAAGTATGTCTTTATTTAAATTTTAGGGCGTACAATACCAACTTTGCATCACTGTTGTAACTGTATTGCCTGATAAGCCGATTTATAGTTTGAACTGCACATGCCCGTATCCAACGTCGATCGACATGTCAATTGACCTTGATACAGGCATTCGCAGTTTAAACTACAAATAAGTTTTGTGGAAAACAACCAAACTATACAACTTTAGTACAAAATCCAATAGAGAAAATAGTTTATAAATTAAAAATATTATGCAATACTATTTCAATTAGTGTGGATTTTAAAAGATGAAAAACAGGATAATTTTATTTCAACATTTATAAAAAGGATGAACATAGGGTGTAATTATTCATGAATATCATCTTGTCAGGGAATAACCTTTATTAAACCCTGTCTTATTACTTACCACAGCTGGTTGTGTAATGAACACACATTGTAGGAATGAGAAGTACACAGACTGGATCCAATAGATTGCTTTGGTATGATTAAACCTAGGAAGAAACGATATCATGATTGCAATCATTATTCATAATGTGTACACTGACTGGATTCCATATACTGCTTTGATATGGTTTAGCCTATTAAATCTTCTTTGACAAAAAACTGTTGTACGCCCATATATAGTCATGATGTGCCTATATATGGTCATAATGTGATGTCATCATGACCATATTTAGGCATGTCACATGTTTTTGTCAAATTAAATTTAATAGTATTGACAGGGCTTAAGAAAAAGATATCAGAATCACTATCGTATATGCAAACAGATTGAACTCTCTAGATTACTTTGGTATATGGAGGTCGACATGGAGGTTCTGGGTTCGATTCCCAATCGAATCACTTGTGAAAACATTTGGGAATGTACTGAGTAATAATACCATCTTTCATGTTAGTTTTGAGATTTCGAGGTATAATTTCTTAAACAGAGGGATTTAGTGATGATTGTTTACAGGCGGTCATGTGACCTGACTTGGGTATACATGTTATGGTTGCGAAAATAACCACCCGCTGTTAATGTGAGAAGTAAATGGCTAGGAAAGGCAATACGATTGTTCAACATAACATAGTTTTATTTATTTATCCTAGCGTTCTCCTTAAATTGTATGGTTTGAAATTTAAGTGATCCTTCATAAACCTTAGCTGGCCCTAACATCGCAGTGTAGTTTGCAAGTCAAAGACCATCATGCATACCATAACAATGCCGTAGATGTGCGGGAAGCCTAGGCCTAACATTTGTTGAAAAATCCCAATGTTTGCATTCAGTATCCTTTATAGCATTGGCAAAACATTAAGGCAAAATTCTTAAGTTTAATTTCCAATCAATTTGGTATAGTTTACTGGGAATTATGATGATCTTTACAGCAATAAACAAGGGACAGCTGTGAAAGAAATCTCCATGTAAAACACCGCTGTGTCAGTGGGTTACTTCATGTGATGCCCATCGCTAAATCCCTCTATTGGATTACATGAATTACCTGTAGCCCAGATAAACAGCCACAAAGGTTGAGATGCCAATAATGCTGAAACACAGAGCGTACGCTATGTACAAGCACCAGTGCGGAAACATCAACTTGGGACTTGTAAATTTCTTGTGGTTCATCTCATGTTGTGAAGGTGGCATCATGAATGAATCAATACTCTGGCATTCTGGGGAGCTCATTCCACTGTCTGATATCGTCCTGCTGCTGCTTAAAAAAAATTAATCGTTAATTAAAAAAATATTTTTTTAAATATCTTATTTTATTCTGAATAATATTTCTAATGGATGACAATTCAGCTAGACAATGTGACATAGCCTCTATGGTAGATTAAGATACCTAATATCTATAATGCATAGCATACGTTCGTACGTGGCGCCCTGGGTCGGACTGTTCCATTTATTTCGAAGGGGTGTTCCGTTTGGGAACAATGGCAATTAGTCGGTTTATCCAGGTAAGTATTCACGGAATAGACTAAAATAGTTTATTTTAGCTTGTGAAATCATACATTTTATTTATTACATGTACAGTACTTGTTGTCAAGAACTTTTGTACTTTGTAAAACAATTCTGTAACAGCAGTGTATGCGGAATGTTTTTTTGTTGTTTCTACCCAAAAAAAACCAGTGGGTGAATCCAGGATGACTTTCATAGAGGGTGTAAACCACCTCAACCCAACCATGGTTGGGGCCGAGGCAAGAAAATTTATGATTATGGCACATCTAGATGGCCAGAAATTACCCCTTGAATCCGCCACTGCGAACTACTTTGATTGTGTTACAGTAGTTTGTGGTGTCAGCAATAAAAGTTGGTTTATATATTTAACATATTCATAATTTTATATCTGAATTCATGGATGCAAAGATGACAATGTTGTAAAGTATTTTTTTTACTTTAAATTTTATGTATGTGATTTTAACCCATGAAGGAATAAATCATTTATCTAATAATTCTATTACATATAAGCTAAATGTTGGTGGTAACACGTACACTCTGTTTCTCCTACTAGCTTTGGTATCATCACTTTCTCTATTGATCTCGCCTCCAAATTCTTCAAATCCGCTAGAGATGCTGCCATTATCAAAATAGATCCTCTCTTGCGATGACCGTCCACTGTCCGAGTCAAAAGCACCCATGCTTCCCTGATTTAAATAAGATAAATAACATAAAAATAATTGTAATAGAACTCCTAAAAATACTATGCCTAGCTAGATATCAAACAAATACAGTACACTGATATATAAATACCACATGCCAATACCATAGTTATTCTTCTGGTTATTTTTGGTCATTAATAATTAATTTCATATTATATTATAGCATTTTTTTTGACAGAGGTCATTAAATAAACAATAAATTTTGAATACAGTACACTGATATATGAATACCACAAAGATATATAAATACCACATGCCAATACCATAATTATTCTTCTGATTATTTTTGGTCATTAATAAGCGCCTTGTCTCCTTTGGCAAAAGGCGCTATATAAATTTCTATAATATTATTATTATTATTATTATTATTATTATTATAATCATTTTTTTTTATAGAGGTCATTAAATAGACAATAAATTTTGAGGTGTATCATGCTTTCCATCTGTTTTATTCTGTAAAGCCCTGTCCAAACTATCAAATTTTATTTGACAAAAACATGTGACATGCCTAAATATGGTCATGATGACATCACATCATGACCATATATAGGCATATCATGACTAAATATGGGCATGTGAGGATTTTTAAAGAATACCTTTTGTTTCCTGATCCAGTTCTCCGTTGTCCAGTGCTGTAAACTTTGTAGGTTGAGAGCGGTCTGTTCAATTATACCTAATTCAAAGCTTCTCTCATTTAGAATTGGCTGCACTGCAGCTGAATTAACACAAACAAAAACAAAAAGAAGGATGATAATTTAGCAAATATATAATGATGCTTAATAATACAGTACTATTACTGTATAAAATTATATTTAGTATCTTGCATTGTTCACTTTCTAAACTGAAAGGAAAAGAAGAAAATCACATAGGGAAGGGTAAACAAAAGTTTATTTCAAAGGCTTTACATCTGGGAATGTAGGCAATGGACCATATATGCCCCGCCCCTTGGTCATTGTTGCTAAAATCATACAAAATGGCAGCATAAGTGTAAATACGTTTTATGGGACATGTGCACATTCCTGGCCCAGTTCTAATTGGTCTGTTAAGTTTGATTGACACTCCCAAAAGGTCCATTTTCCATTCAAATATTTACAAAATTATAAATACTAAAGAATAAGAACAAAAAAAACCTATAACAATTCTGTTGCAATTGCTATCAAGTGACAGTTGATTTGGTCAATAGCTGTTTTTGGATACCAGTATGCCTAAAGCTATGTCAATCAAACTATTAAAATTTCAGGATGTTTCCATTTTTACCAAATATAACAGATAGGTGTGGTTTCATCCTAAATACAATGCTAGATACTTGGCTGTTCCAAGACAAAACAACTTAACAAAACAAAAAACAAATAAGAGTTGCGTCGTTTTGCCGTAAGACGGCTGTACTTTAGACATCTAATTTAATTCCAACATAATACTAACAAAAATAATAAAAAACATTAAATTGCTTTTTAAAATTAAAAAAAAACTGCTTCCAACACTTACTATCTGGAGAGGCTTTAAAGCTTTGTCTGATGTTATTGTAGATCTCTTTTGGATCACGTTCGGTCTTGGGGCGAATCCGTCGGAAGAACATAATGATTGGGAAATTGATGGGAATTGCTATAAGGGCAGTGACGATGCCAACTAACACAGCTTCTCCAGACACATCAATCAAGCCTAGATCAACCTCCTATTGAATTAAGTAAGGAACAATAATAATCACGAAAATAATACCATTATAACTATAGTGTATAGACCATGGATTAGCATAATTTTTTTTCCGGAAGATGCAGTAGGTCCTTTAAAGTGCACAGGAGCCAAGACTTCCATTTTAAGTCCTTATACAAGAATACTTGGTGCTACCAACCAAACCCTACGCGATGAGTAGCTCAAACCAGCACCGATGTTCAGGGTGTAGTTAGAGCCGCTCCCGCCTTACCCCTCGGCCACTCGACTCACCATTGTTAATTATGCAAATACCAGATGAGTTGATACGAACAATTAAACACTGGTAGTGTTCAAGTATAAACCTACCTCCTTGTCAAGGAGCTGATACCAAATAGTATTGATACAAAAGAAATCCATCAAAATTGACAGACACACGGTCAACCGTTGCACACGTGTAAAGCAGCTGTATGGTGGACGCGTGAACACAGAACTCCACAGGTAGTAGTCAGAAAAGTACTGTGCGCCTTTCGCAAAAAATGCCTGTTAATTAAAAGAACACCAATCTTTTTAATATACAACGTAACAGGTAATAACCACTTAAATATTTATTTGATGCACTGCGATCTAGATACTTTTGTGAATATGATTGTCTAAAATGGGAGGTTTTTTTGGCCTTTGTTGGTTCTGGTTCCTGTTTTACTTTTACCATACTTTTATTCTTTAGTTTAGAATACATTAAAAGCTTTGCTTACAGTTGGGTTTTTTTCCAGAAATAATTAGTAATTATTCTTTTGTAAATACTTATGTTATTTTTGAGAAATAAATTTTATTTGAATTGAATTGAAAATGTTTAAGAATTTTACATAGCCTACCTTATGAAATCCAATTCCTGTTTTCTGTACTGGAATCTCGCGTTCAATGTTACCATCATCTTCTTCTACGGCAAACCAGCGTTCACAAATGAAATACCACTTCTGCCCGCTCAGCAAATCCCGCACGGCAACCCGACTTAGGAACCAGCTTGGTGAGCGCCCGGCATTATCATGCCAGATATGGATTTTTGTCAGGTCTCCCAGGGACTCTGGCACACTAATGCACATAAACCAAAAAAAGTGTGTTCAGATTCAAAGTTATTGTCATGAAAGATGTTGATGTTATCATACAGAGTACAGAACTTTTATTGGTCTTGTAAAAGCAAAAGTACAGAACAAGAAATTACTTTGTAGTACCGTACTGGACAATAATGCTCTTTAGTCTTGAAATTTCAAAATTTTTATCATTTGCTGTCAACAGCAAATACATTTACAGAATCTGTCACACCACCTTTAAAATTATGCTTGTTTTACTACTGATTTTTTAAATATTTAACTTTAGATGTTTTATTTCTAAGCAAGATTTTATTTTATAAGCATTTGTCTTTTGCCAAAGGGCCCCCATTCGATAGTGATTTAGTGTACTTTTGGGGTAATAGTGTCTCTTGTTCTTTTGTGCTTGTTCCTTGCTGTTTCTGTTCTTGTAAATGTTAATATTGTTGGGACAAATAAATGAAATAACAATTAATAAATTATTTGTACAATTCGGTGAAAACCCATGCAACCTGAAACCTTCAGGTGCTGATTGGGTAGTACATCGGGAGGAAATCCCTCGCTCTTTTCCAAAGAGTGTACTATTTTCTTTATCGTGCTCATTAGCAGCATTACACACAGTATCTTAAACACCTTATCCAATGGTGAACTAATTGTAAACTTGCATTTCAGTCCTCCAGCTGAAACACATGATGCTTAGAAACAGTACTTACCTGACAACAAAACGGTCTCTAGAATTCCTTTCAAATAAGGCTTTATCATGCGCTTTTAGTTCCTTGGTTTCTGAAAACCCCTCTTCACCATGCAGCACGATGCTAACAGCTGCTGTTGTCGTGGCACCACTTCTAAAACCAGTCTCTATCGTGATCTCATAGCTAGTGTATGAAAACAAAAACAACAAATACGATAAAACCACAAAAATACACAACATCTACAAGATGAAGAACAAGGGCAAAAAAAATAGGTATGATCACAATATTGACTTCGTCGATTAATGATATTTTCAATAATATTGAATATTAATTTGTATACATATTCATACCTACAATATGCTGTATTAAATGAAATATCCTCCTTTCAAAAATCTTATCCCTACAGTAAGTAATTTACATAAAATTCCTGTTATCTACAAGTAGATTTTTTTAATTTAGTTGTGGACAGACAAGAGATAGCTGGTACAGGTTTACCGAGTAGCCAAAACATGTAGAGACCTTAGGGGAGCAGCAAATTATTGTACGAGTTAGTCCCCACCTCGAGCGCTTTGGGACTTCGGTATAAAGCGCTATATAAATCAAACTACTTTTATTACCATTTTTAAAGTTTTTACATTACATTAATTATTTACTCATCTATTTGTTCAACATGATTTACCAGATAGACAATAAAATATAAGTAATTACAAAAATCATTTGGTTACTTTAAAATGCAAATCAAATGTTATCAATCGGAATGAAACAAAAACCTACTACTGCTGATCTGTCAGCTGGTTGTCTTTCAGAAAGATTGTTCCTTGCTTCTTCTCGTCATGAAGATCGGCATAGCGACAGTAGATAAAGAGGACAAAATATATACCAAATGCCACCACAACAAACACAAATGTGATAGGATGTTCATTTGATCTGAAAAAAAAAACCAAATATAACATGGTATTTATATAAACATCAAGGACTTGAATTTTAAAATGTACTATGTTGTAAACATTGACCAATAAAAGAGCTTGTATCTTATACGTCTGCAAGTAGCGACCAATGAAATAGCTTGTACCTCCTGTATGACTACATCTTCAGGAATGACCAGAAAAATGTATAGAGAGTGTACAATATATTTGATTAGTTATAATTCTAATGAACAGAAAAAAAAACACACTTCAGCTTTGAGATATATACACACTATGTATATGCAGATCAAGTTTGCTATGTAGTACCATAAACACAATATAAACAAATAGATAAACAATAACAGTGGTCAAATACAATATGTTCCTATTTGAGTACTGTTATTATTATTTATCTATTTGTTTATGTGTACATATATGAAATACAAAGATATAGTGTTAATTTGCCACAATTTATCTTTTAAGATCTTTCGGCCATAGACCTTTATCAAATTATATGTGTAGGCCTATACAGTATATATTTTTAAATCAAAATTTAAAAAAAACTGGTTAAAAACCTGGCCTTACATTTGGAAATGTGACATGGGGATACGCTTAATGAGTTTCACGATTGGTACAAAGTTCACTCCAAAAGCAGTCAAGTGATTGCACCTACAGTTAGTTACTTCGTAATTGGAGGTTGGGAGCAGCTCGCAGCCATCTGGAACCCACGCACCTGCAAAACGGTAAATTAGATCGAACATTTGTATGCTCATTAATTAATTCCATCACAGAATTAGAAATTGTTATCTAGTAAAAAAATTAATTAAAATTAGTTAGCATTTTAAGAATCAGAGGCATTCATTTTCTTATGTGTATTGATTCTTCTAATGATAAGGCGACACAATTATTATTAGGGTGAAATACAAGCCTTACCTTTTCTCTTGTTCCAGTACAAGCACTCAGCCCACCATATCCTGAACAGGTAATGTCCTGGAGGATGGTCAAATTGGTACATACTCTGGTCAAATAGAGGGTCAAGCAGTGCCAAGTAGTATGTGCCGGTTTCTAAACATGTCGGGCAAAAAAAAAGTTTTACAAGTTAAATTATTTTCACTTGTAAGACAAACACTAATATTACTTACTTATTGTGTGCCTCACTTGCACAAGGATCTGTCTACACTATAGCAATTAGTAAAGCATGCATAGTACACTATAGGAAAATTATTATACAAAGGTTTGATTTAATGCTTTAAAAAATTTTAAAGTGATGACTTATAAGACATTTTATGTGACAAAATAATGTGATATGCCCATATTTAGGTGTAATATGACATCACCATACCCATTCCACATCACACAAACGCTCACAACAAATTTGGACAGATATTTAGAGCCAAATAAGTACACAAATCAGCAGTGATGTTGGAAAATGTTTTAGCGCAGTGTTTTCAGATCCTTCCCTGAACAGCAGGCCAGAGTCTGTGTTCTAGCCATCACTGCCAGCAAAAGTTTACACGCAATACAAAAGAATGTAGGACATAAACCACCCAGGACATAAACCACCCAGGACATAAACCACCCAGGA